TTTCTCTCAATTTCTTCTCATTTCTCTCTGCTTAAATTATTCAAATAAATAAAAAAAATATATATTTCTACTTAAATTATTCAAACAAATAAAAAATATATATATCACGCTATTTCTTTTCTCTCCAAATCACTCAATCCAACATAGGATTAGTTTTGTTTGCTTGAATCACCCTGTTACAGCTCACAAAATCTCTTTCACAAGATGCTTCAGTTTCTCTCTCTCTCTCTCTCTCTCTCTCTGACAACCCTGTCTCTTGAATTGCTTACTACTCTTGAAGAACCCAAAAATTCTGCATGAATGGAGATCAAAATCATTGGCTTGCTCTCTCTAGCTTTCTCTCTCATCTACTTGTCAATTCTGCGTCTGTCAACAGCTTTCACACCGGTAGACAACTACCTCATCAACTGTGGATCAAGCACAAATGTCACTGTTGATAACCGACTCTTCACCGGTGATTTGACCGGACCGGGTTCGGTTTATCTGTCTTCTTCTGGTAAATCAATCTCTCTCACGAATCAAAACCCATCTTCAAATTCAGCTCCACTTTCCCGAACAGCTAGGGTTTTTCTCAGTGCTTCAAGTTATGAGTTCAACATCAAGAAGACTGGGACGCACTTGGTACGTCTTTATTTCTCTCCCTTCACTACTTCCCAGAGTTACAATCTCAATAATGCAAATTTTAGTGTTTCGGCTAATGGGTTTTTGCTTTTGAGCAATTTTGATATTCGATACACTGTTCTTAAAGAGTTCATTTTGATGGTAAATGATGTGAATTTGGAACTATCGTTTGTACCTTCGAGCCAATCGGGTTTTGCGTTTGTTAATGCAATTGAAGTGTTCTCTGCTCCTGAAGATCTCATGTTTCAGTATGTGGCTAAATCGATTGGTCCTAACGGAGTCGAAGAGTTTAAGAATCTTTCTTCGCAAATTTTAGAAACGGTTCATAGGATTAATGTTGGGGGTTCAAAATTGACCCCTTTTAATGATACCCTTTGGAGGATTTGGATCCCTGATGAGGATTTTCTAGTTCTGAAATCTGCTGCGAAGACTGTGAGTACAACACATGCTCCAAATTATGAGAAAGATGGTGCAAACAGAGAGATCGCTCCTGATAATGTTTATATGACTGCACAGCAGCTGAACAGGGATAACTTAAATGCAGATGCTGTGTTCAATATAACTTGGGATTTTCCAGTGAGCTCAGAACCTGCTCGATACTTCATTCGTTTGCATTTCTGTGACATTGTCAGTAGGTCACTTAACCAGCTTTACTTCAATGTATTTATCAATGGATTCGCTGCGTACAAAGATCTTGATCTGTCTGCTCTTACATTCAATTTGCTTGCATCTCCATACTACATAGATTTTGTTGTGGGTTCGGATAATTCAGGGGTTGTGCGTATTAGTGTTGGTCCTTCTGATCTTAGTAGTTCATTGAGAAAGGATGCTATTTTGAATGGGGTAGAGATCATGAAGATGGTGAATTTTTATGTGGTTTCAGAAACTCGGCCTGAGAAGAGAAGTGTTTGGGTTTTGGTGGGTTCAGTTGTTGGAGGCTTTGCTTTTCTATGTTTGGTTGGACTCGCAGTTTTATTGATATTGAGAGGTAGGAGGCAAAAACAGAAACCAAAACCTGTGGAAAGTATGGGTTGGACACCTTTACGGGTATATGGAGGGAGTTCACAAAGTAGGCTATCTGAAGGGACTGCCTTTCCATCTCCGGGGCCATATGGATATCTTGGCTTGAGGATCCCTTTTGGTGAAATACAGTTGGCAACAAGCAATTTTGACCAAAATCTGATTATTGGTTCTGGTGGATTTGGCATGGTTTACAAAGGGGTTCTTAGAGACACCACAAAGGTTGCTGTGAAGCGAGGTGTACCAGGGTCCAGGCAGGGTCTTCCTGAATTCCAGTCTGAACTAACCGTTTTGTCAAAAATACGACACCGCCATCTTGTTTCACTTGTTGGGTATTGTGAAGAACAGTCAGAAATGATACTTGTCTATGAATTCGTGGAAAAAGGGCCATTGAAAAATCATTTATATGGTTCGGGATTAACACCTTTGTCTTGGAAGCAGAGGCTTGAAATATGCATTGGTGCTGCAAGAGGCCTTCACTACCTTCACACAGGTTCGGCACAGGGAATCATCCATCGTGACATCAAATCTGCCAATATTTTGCTTGATGAAAATTGTGTTGCTAAGGTTGCAGACTTTGGTCTCTCAAGGTCTGGTCCGTGTATCAATGAGACCCATGTAAGCACTGGTGTCAAAGGTAGTTTTGGGTATCTCGATCCAGAGTATTTTCGGACGCAGCAGCTTACAGATAAGTCAGATGTTTATTCATTTGGGGTTGTGCTTTTCGAAGTTCTTTGTGCTAGACCTGCTGTTGACCCATTGCTGCCCAGGGAGCAGGTAAATTTAGCTGAATGGGCAATTCAATGGCAGAAAAAGGGTCTGCTCGAACAGATCATTGATCCATTCCTAATGGGGAAAATAAAGCCAAGTTCACTGAAAAAAATTGGCGAAACAGCAGAGAAATGTGTTGCTGAGTGTGGTGTTGATAGGCCTACAATTGGTGATGTATTATGGAATTTGGAATATGCGCTTCAGCTTCAGGAAACTGGAAGGCCAAGGTTATCTCATGAAGTCAGTGATATCACTTCTTCAGAGCTCCCAGGACCCAGAGTTGTTCCCCAAGTTCCCTCAAGCCATGTTAGAATTGAGGGAGATGATTCTGATGGGATTTCAAATATAACAACAAGCCGAGTTTTTTCCCAACTGATGACCAAAGAAGGTAGATAGTTTATAGGTTCATGCCATAAAATATGAAATTCTTGCTTAAACACAGGCATGAACTACATTGCTTGGAATTTCTGCAGAAACATAAAATCAAGAAGTATCAAATGTAATTCTAGCTTTATTTTGTTTCAATAAATATAGATGCATATATAATTCTTTTCAAGTGCTTCTCACTTCCTTTTCATCTGATGTTCATAGAGAACATGTTAATGGATGTCTTACATACATGCAAGTTATATATCTAGTTGTCATAGGCTGATTATTTAGTCCTCTCTATGCTTATGTTGTAATGAGATCAAATACGAACTGCGTGAACAATATAACAAAGTGCAATTGTATATGTGCATGTGTTGTAGTCTTCGGCTTTTCAATCTTATGAGTGAAGCCTTATAAACTCCCTTCTTTGATCTTTGTGCTGGTTAGGGCATTAAATATTAATATAGATTTTCCATGAATTGGCATTATTCCATATTATTTTCAGTGAGATTTCAAGTCCAATTCCATGCCATGGATGGGTTTACAAAAAATGGAACATCGCCATAAATTATGACAATATTTATGCTATGACCTCATTTCATAAAGTACTCATGGTTAATCTCATCATGCCAAAAAAAAAATAATAATAAATAAAAAATAAAAAAATAAAAAAAAGTGGACTTGTTTTATGTCTAGTGGAAAAGAAATTATGCATATTCAAAATGTTGTGTGAAACTGCAGCAGGATGATATATTCCCATGCATAGGTTCTATTAGCCCACAATATGTTTCTTAAAGAAAATTTGGTGGAAAATCCATCTCTTTCACTTAATTTTAACTAATCTTTACGGTTATAGTGATTTACTTTTAATTTGTTGTGGATAGCTACTATAAATTTCTTAAGTATTCTTGATAAACATGTTCCGGTCTGTTTTCATCATTATGGAAAGATACAGAAATGTCTCATTAGCTATAATTGCATTATTAGTGTTTTTATCAGAAAGAAAAAAGTAAGAAAAATGGAAGCTGGGCAGATTGTTATGGTTTAAGGCATTTCATAGTCATGAAGTCTAATTGTTGTACCTAGTCATACTTTTTCTGTTTTGCCAGCCATGACAATGAAATAATAGTAGTGGTCTTGCATAGATGGACTGATCCTTATTCTAGTTTGGACACAAAATCAGAAAGTGAAAGAAAAAAGAATCTTGTCTTTGGATTTTTGCTTGAGGAGGATTTTTCTTTCTCAATGGGTTCCTGTGGATGTTTTATTTGTTTGGTTTTTGTTTGGGGGAGGAGGGATTTGTACATAAGGTAGGTATATAGAAGGTTAATGCACCATTCTGAGACACCTCCTAGCCAGTTTGCCCAAACACGCTCAATGCACCCTTGGCTTAGTGTCACAGGCCGACTCCTTTAGAGGCGCAGCGGATCAATTTTTGCCTGTGTGGCGCTCAAACTCCACCAAGTTTAAGCCCGCCATTGCTCGTTGACAAATCGAGTGTTGATGATCTCACCCGTTTGACCCTCGCGATAATAGGCTTGGTACCCTTGTCTCGATTGAACAACTCTCCACTTAAATGTGCCCCTCATATGTTTCAGTCCTCTCTAGTTTTATCTCTAAGCCACTGCCACGTATGCTCATTCTGACATGCTCAACACAACTCTTTGGTCGAACGTATCTCTACTTGAGCATGTCATCCCTTCCACTCACAATGACATGCTTGGCATCCTTGATTTGGCCAAGTGATCCTCCATCCGAGTGTGTCCCCTACGCCTCAGTTCCAATACTCTAAAAATCACCTTGATGCTGATGTGAACCTAGGTTGGGAGTACGGCGTATAGACCCCATTGTAGTTGGTGTCGAGGTAATGAGACAAAGTGATATGTGAAAAAAATAGTGCAATGGTGACAACATCTTACGTGGTGTCATCAGCCAATAAAATGTTGCAATTGGACTAAGTAGACAAATCTTGTCTCCCATTAATGCAACACTATTGTGATCCCTACTACAAAATGAGGTTGCTTTTTGGATAGTGATACTGTCACGTGATATCACTATTACATCCAAATTTTACTCGTGATATGTGGCTCGTTGGCTAGAGTTGAGAATTTGTCAAGATACTTGTCCCCTTCCCTCAAGGGACTTGCAACCTGTCTTAGAGAGAGATCTCCACAGTAAGACAACTCTAGACCATGAGAATGTCATGTTGTGTGCTCTGTAACTCTACCTGAGAAGCACACATGATCACTGTTGCAATTGCTAAGCCGTCTTATTATGCTCTATTTAGTTCACTAGAATGGAATGACCATTCCTTAAACTCTCCTATGGAATGATCCTTCCATTTCAATGGTGAATGATGATTCTCTTTGCAATGTATTTTTCATTATTCTTTTAGTCAACCAAACATAAGATAAACATTTTAATGAAATAATCATTCTATTCTACTTCGTTCCAATCTACCTTGGTTTTTCAACTTCAGCACTACTAGTATTGGCTTTACCTCCAGGTTGTTGGGCCAAGGAGGGCAAGCTACCTATATTGTTATTTAGATAAGTTGGCCTCCAAGGCCTGACCCTCCTATAAATAGGTCACCACCTCTATATAGGCATAGTCTCCTTCTCTGGCAAGTCTAGAGACTCTGTTTTCCCGCAGTTGCGCTCTCTCTCTCTCTCTCTCCCCGTATAAGACCGCACCATATCTCACCCCTTCCACCTCTGGTGATCTCTCACCATCCGAGTGCCTACTATAACTTCTCAAAGGGCATACGTACTCTCCAACGTCCACAATAAGAAAAAATTGAAACGCAGTGGTGTTGAAAATTATTTGAAAAAAAAAACAAAACAAAAGAAAAGGAAGAAGAAGTGAAATTCAGAATGAACATAAGCAGTGGTTTTAGAGGGAAGCTATTGAATTACAAGTTTGTCTGAGTTTCATGATTTAGTCACTTGTCATTGAGGCATTTCAATTTTTTGCTTTGTTGGTTTGAAGTCGTGAAAACCACATTATATTATATAATCTTTGATTGTTAACTTAAAAGTAAGGTATAGGTGCAATTTTCACAAGCTCTAGCTCTAGCTCTGATAAAGTAGAGAGCTTCACACAGAAAACCCTCACTTGGTGAAGCACTACTCCACAGTAGAATTACAGTTCCAATTCTCTCTTGTTGGAGCATGTGTGAAGGTAAAATCTCATATTGGATAAAGAGTAAAAGGACATGGGCCTTAATATATATTATACGAGTTCTCCACTTACAAGCTTAAGCTTTTAAGTGAGTATGAGTTTCAAATAATGTATATTAGGCCTTGATTTGGTGTCAGTGTACTCTAAAGTTTCTTTCTAATGGATTGGGTTGGTATTGTTATGCGCTTGTGGGCTCTCTAATTCCATAACATATCTCTCTCTGATGAGGAATTCACCAGGTATGAAACAAAATCGGTCACTCTGAATTTGTTCCTTCAAATCTAATTAGAACAGAAAACCTTCAATAATATGTATACCCCATTCAGTGGCTGTGTCTAGGGCTGCAAATGAACAGAGCCGTTCATGAACAAGCTCGAGCTTGGCTCGGTAAGAACTCGTTCGAACTCGGTTCGTTAATTTTTTTTGCCGTTCGAGCTCGAGCTCGTTAAATTTTTAATAAACAAGCCCAAACAGTCTAAAGCTCTGCTCGTAAGCTCGGCTCGTTAGCTGGCTCGTTTAATATTTATTATTTATATATTAAATAATATAAAAGTATGTATAAAAAATAAGAGAAATATGCTATTTATATATTTAAAAAATATAAATGTGAATAATACTTAACTATAGATAGTATATTTATATAATAGTGGTAGTAGATATTATTATTTTAGTAAAATATGAACTTTTTTTTAGTATGTTTATATATATTATATATATAATTGTATAATCAAAGTTTTAATTACAACTTTAGTCTCACATGCAAGTATGAATTTATAAATTTTTTGGCTCGTTAAGGTTCGTGAACAAGCTCAAGCTCGAGTCGAGCCTAAGCCAACTCGGCTCGAGCTCGGTTCGTTAAATTTTTATTCAGCTCGAGCTCGAGCTCGTTAAAATCTTAATAAACAAGCCCAAATACACTAAAGCTCGGCTCGGCTCGTTTGCAGCCCTATGTGCAACAGAGGTGGCCATTTTTCCATTGTCCTCTCGAAAGAAGAGTCCTCGATATATCGGCAGGTTGATCAAAACAGTGAGACCACATAAAACAATCTGCAATGCCAATGCTTCCAAAACATTAATTTGCACATCTATAACCATCCTAATCATGACCCAAACAAAACTGAATAGGTTGAGCATTGCAAGCGTGGTGAAAATGGTAAACATCGATGATAATGGTGTACCAAACTCCATGACCTCTCTCAGACTCCATGACCTCTCTCAGATATCGTTCATATATCTCTCTGTAGAATTTAGACACAAACAAATATTCATCTCTCTCTAGAATTTAGACCTAAACAAACACTCATCTCTCTTTAAAATTTAGACCCAAACAAACACTCATCTCTCTCCTTAGAATGTAGACCCAAACGATAACTTTTTGCACCAAATCTAAAAAGGAAAGTGAAGTCAGTTTTTCAGAAACTCCAATAAACATCAAACAATACTAGGAAAAGGCAATGCATTGTCAATAACAAAACCATAACTTTTTGTAAATAGTCCATAGTTGCAAACACCCACAAAGCTCATCCCCATCTCCTCCACTCAACCAACACCCACCACCCATTACCTTCACCTCTCATGGCACCCATGGTGGTAGCCACCATTACAATTTGGGTCTTGGCTTAATTAATTTGGTATGCCTATATATGTAATGTATATGTGTCTATAGTGATACAGAGAAGATGAAGGATGATGGTGGTTGCTATGGTAGAGAATGATAGACATGGATTTTAATTTATGGGTTAGCTTTATTTGAGTTAAGAGAATGATAGACATAGATTTTAAAAGAATAATGAAACAAAAATTAAAGAGAAAGATGGAGAAATAAGGGAGATAAGTTAGAGAGAGAGAGAGAGAGAAGCATTTTAGAGAGAGAAGCAACATTTTTGTTTTCAAAAAACTTGGGAAGAAGAAGAAGATAGGAATTATCCGGTGTGGTTGAGGGGGAAAATTTTGGTTTTATAGTCGTACAACACATGCTCTATTAAAACAAACGGTTTCGTCCGAAAC